CAGCTGCCTTCTTGAACCGCTACAGTCCTCCTGCTGTGGTTTGCCCACAATGCTATTAGGGAGGGAATTCCAGGATTTTGACCCAGCGACAATGAAGGAACAGCGATATATTTCCAAGTCAGGATGGTGAGTGACTTGGAAGGGAACTTGGAGGTGGTGTCTTCCCATATGTCTGATGCCCTTGTCTTTCTAGATGGAGATGGTCATGGGTTTGGAAGGTGCTGTCTGAGGATCTTTGGTGAATTTCTGCAGTGCATCTTGTAGATAGTACATACTGCTGCTACTGAGCATCGATGGTGGAGGGAGTGGATGCTTCTGGAAGTAGTGCCAATCAAGCGGGTTGCTTCGTCCTGGATGGTGTCAAGCTTCATGAGTGTTGTTGGGGCTGCACTCATCCAGGCAAGTGGGGAATATTCCATCAAACTCCTGACTTGTGCCTTGTAGATGGTGGACAGGCTTTCAGGGGTCAGGAGGTGAGTTACTTGTCATAGTATTCCTAGCTTCTGGCCTGCTTTTGTAACCACTGTGTTTATGTGGTGAGTCCAGTTGAGTTTCTGGTCAATGATAACACCCAGGATGTTGATAGTGGGGGATTTAATGATGGTAACACCATCGAATGTCAAGGGGCGGTGGTTAGATTGTCTCTTATTGGTGATGGTCATAGCCTGGCATTTGTGTGGCACGAATGTCACTTGCTACTTGCCAACCCAAGCCTGGATATTGTCCAGATCTTGTTCCATTTGAACATGGGCTGCTTCAGAATCTGAGGAGTCGCAAATGGTGCTGAACATTGTGGAATCGTTGGCGAACATCCCCATTTTTGACCTTATGACAGAGGGAAGGTCATTGATGAAGCAGCTGAAGATGGTTGGGCCTAGGACACTACCCTGAGGAACTGTTTTAAAATTCATTTATGGGATGAGGGCGTCACTGCCTAGGCAGCATTTATTGCCCATCCCTAATTGCCCAGAGGGTAGTTAAGAGTCAACCACAGGGGAGGCGATTGCCTAGTGGTATTATCGCTGGACTGTTAATCCAGAGACCCAGATAATTTTCTGGGGACCCAGGTTTGAATCCCACCATGGCAGATGGTGGAATATGAATTCAATAAATATCTGGAATTAAGAGTCTACTGATGACCATGAACCTATTGTTGATTGTTGGCAAAACCCATCTGGTTCACTAATGCCCTTTAGGAAAGGGAACTGCCATCCTTACCTGGTCTGGCCTACATGTGACTACAGAGCCACAGCATTGTGGTTGACTCTTAACTGCCCTCTGGACGATTAGGTATGGGCAATAAATGCTGCCTAGCCAGCGACGCCCTCATCGCGTGAATGAATAAAAAAAAATTGCTGTGGTGTGGAGTCACATGTAGGCCAGACCAGTTAAGGATGACAGTTTCCTTCCCTAAAGGGCATTAGTGAACTCCTGCAGAAATGTCCTGGAGCTGAGATGATTGACCTCCACCAACCAGAGAGTTTGCCCCATGATACCCATTGATTCCAGTTTTGCTAGGGCTCCTTGATGCCACATTCAGTCGAATGCAGCCTTGATATCAACAGCTGTCACTCTCACCTCACATCTGGAATTCAGCTCTTTTATTCCTGTTTGAACCAAGGCTGTAATGAGGTCAGGAGCTGAGTGGCCCTGGTGGAATCCAAACTGAGCGTCACTGAGCAGGTTATTTCTGAGTACGTGCTGCTTAATAGCACTGTTGATGACATCTTCCATCACTTTACTGATGGTTGAGAGTAGACTATGGTGCATCTATGAGTCGGTGAGAGTCCTTATGGACATGCTGTATTTCCTTAGCATCCTGGGGAAGAAGAAGTATTGTGCCTTTGTGACCATCGCACCAACATGGGTGGTCCAGGACAGATTGTCAGTAATCAACCATCTCCACCTCAGCTCCATTGATGTAGATAGGGGCATGATGCAGGGACATCTTGTAGTCACCAGGACAATTTGCAAGAAATATTAAATAAAGGAGAAAAACCAACATTTATATCATTTGAGAGGAGAATGCAAATTGGTTGGCAAGTGGACTATGATTGATAAATGTGTTGCCATGGAGAATGTACCAATTAATGATGATTGATAGTCAATTGCCAAGCTTTCTTAAAATATTATACTAGACAGGTTGGCAGGTGAAGACATTGCCCTGATAAATGAATAAGGGAATGGTTGTCACCTGTTTTATTGAATCCTGATCCCATGTATTCATTTACATAGATTCTAGTACATACAAATGTGCCGTCGATCGACAATTCTAAATTAGCTGTTAGTGTAATTCTTCTCATACTCGGCATTATCTGGCAACTGCAGTCGAATTGCAGAATCACATCTAATGTTGGACACTGTTGTGAGTTTTTAAAGTTCAACTGGTTGGGTACAGTTAGCACCTTGTCAACAGCTGTAGGGATATGCTGCTTTCATATGATCTGGAAATCTTTGGGAGGTACAGCTACACACCTGACACCACATTGATAGTTAGATTCTTATACCAAACACCTCATTTGTGCAATAGGAACAATGTGCTTTTGGTTTGATGGCAGCATCCTGTTACCGCTAAACAGTATTTGTGTTGCTACTTTATAGTAGCAAGGTGAAATAGCTAGCTTCACCTATTATTGAAATGTTTGAGATACCTGACTCTTCCAGGATAATGAGGTGGACTCTGCACTTTTCAGTTCTAACAGTGACTGTCTTAGGGTCTATCTTGTGATATACAATGAGAAGTAAACTGATCAGCATAGCCAGTATAATGCAAGCTGGCTTTGATGTACCCTATTTCACGTATGAATTTGAACTCAGAATGGAGCCCATTTAGACAGGTAAGGAAATTCTTACAACCATTGATTCAAGCCTTATCTACGACCGGTTCTGCACAACATGATCTGGCTCAATGAGTGGGTGAATTGCTACAACCAATTTTGAGTCAGTTTTACACATACATGATAAATTCCCTTACATTTGCAAAGACAATTGGAGTTGTATATCAATTGCAATGCAGTGTCCCTGTGCTCATTTGACATTGTTAACCAATTCACCAATGTGCTACTCAAGGAAGCTATAGGTCTGCGCACTGCTGCACAATATCATGGTGATCTAGACCCACCATCATTGTGTGGATTAGTATTCACTGAGCTCATGAACTTAGCAACTCTTCAGTTGAATTTGGTTTTAAAGACACCATGTTGTCCATCCTTTGAACACTAACCAGTTTATGTATTAAAAACACTACACCCAAGCACTGTTGTCGATCAGGCAGGAAAAGGGACACAGAATTTGGTTTGTGGTTCAACATGATTTTATGAAGAAGATATTCCTTTCTACAAACTCAAAATTTGCGAAATATTTACTCTTTATCTAGCTTGCTGAGCGAGAGAGGATATTATCCACAACGATCCATTTGCTTGAGCTGGGCCATTGGAATATCCTTCCTCTCCAATGTAGGACTGACTCTTTTCCACGAAGGTGGGTCATGCAGGTTTGGATCGATCTTCTTCTGGGTCTTCTTGGGTTGTCGCACAGTCTTCTGACTGTATTCCCTGCTGCCAATCTTTCCTGAGAGTCTTCACTGTGTCTTCACTGAATGGCTGGAGTCTAGGTGTATGTATTTTTATCTCCCCTCGCACCAGATAGTCCAGAGATTAGTCTGTGGCCCTTGCCCAATGGGCTCAAATCATCCAATGGAGTTACACCTTTCACTATTGTCATACTGGCAGATGTAAAGTGCACATCCTCAGGCAGTCAAGGTGATAGAAAGTCAAATCAATACTTCTTCAACACACAGCCCTCAGGCTGGTTGGTAACTGATTCTCCCCGAACCTTTGTGACCTCCTTGATCTTGGTTTCTGCTGTTTCTGCAGCTGACAGTTGCTGGTTATCGTGTAATTTAATTTGGCCAACTTTCTGTGAGGCCTGATTTCTCTGGCTGTGGGTCAATTTATAATGGCTAATTTTGGGCCCATGGTTGCTTGAACATAACCATGTATTCCCAAAGAAATGGTGTTGCAATGGGATCCCTGCTGAACTAGGTCTTGCAAAAATCTTACCTACAATCCATCAAAAATGTATCTTCAATGGAATAACACCTAATCTATTTCTTGCATATTTCTAACAAGTAGGTTGATAGCTTTGCTATCTTTGACTTCTCAGCTGTGATAATGGATGCTTTAGCATTTAAACAAACTGAGAAACATAAGCTCAAAACAGTAAACTGTTTAGGATTATTCAGCTAGAAGCCCATAATATTTTATGTAACTGCTGTTTAGTGCTAATGAAAGTACTGATGTGTGGGAGGGCTGCGGTGTGTATCACAGGAGTCACCCATATCTTCCTTTATGACTTGACATTTGCCAAATCTCTCCTAGGATTTCATGTTGTCTTTCGTGTTATTGTTAGGGGATGGGAAGAATGTCAACCTTACTGTGGTAACTGCTGCAACTCACAGGCCAGTGTCCATTTGATAGAGATAGCCCATCTTTAACCACCCTTCCTCAGTGTGAAACAAAACCTACCTTGAAGTAGAAGTGATTTTGTCTTACGGTTAGTGAAAGTACCATGGTAATGCTGTAAAGTTTCTCACTTAATCCTTTGTGTTCAGAAAGTACCATAGATCATTCATTGTATTCGATCTGATCTCTAGACTTGCCTTGTCCAGACACAGGGAATGGATGTCCAAGACCATTAAGGTGGGGCTAACCATTCATGATCCATCATCGCCATCATCAGGTACCTTGTGTGCATACCTTGCAACAAATAAACTATGCACACAAGGAACTGCCATCTTCGAGAATAAACCGGAACTGATGAAATTATTGCAAATAATGGTTATTTTAAGAAAATTCCTAGGCAAATAACATTTGATACTGTCAGCACTCTCACTTTGGAGGAATGACTGCTAAGAGCGAATGATTGTCCTCAGAGTGCTCTTTCAGTTGGCTGTAGTCACTGAGTGAAAAAATTGACAATTTAATTCATAATGTTCTCACCTGATTTCTCTGGTGCGTCTAGTTTTTCCTGAAAAGAAAAAAAGAATGTTAGAAATCTGGAGTTAATTGTGGGGGAGGGGTCTTATTGGATTGTGCGTCAAAACAGCAGAGTCAATGGACTGATTGGCAACATCCTATAGTGTACTGTTCTGTTGATTCTACTAGGTAACAGGATTGTAACATGAGAAAAGGCAAGGAGCACAAAAGGTCTTTGCTAGACTAAATCATAGTCATCTGGTTAAATAACTGTCTGAGCTCAACATCCATCAACAAGCCCAAATGATACAATTTTGATTTAATTACAGATTTCCAGCATCTGCAGTATTTTGCTTTTATTGGAATGTGGAAGAGTTCTGCTTGTTGAGTTCAGTGTGTCAGTGTTAGAGCGTCAGGCCAGGGAAGTGGGATGGAAATTAGCAGCCTACTACAGGCAGGTATTTTTAATCAACCTGTTCAGAGATGTTATGACACACCTCTGGAGCAGGTGGGAATTGAACTCAGACCTCCAGGCTCAGAGCTACAGTCAGTAGTGCTATGCCACAAGGGCCCTAGCCTAGGGCATGCATGCTTACAGTGAGGACTGAACACAGCCCTCTTTTGTTTGATGTTGATTTATGGTGTTTAAGTTAAAACACAGCTCAATCACGACCTAACCAAAAGATACGAGAAACTCAAGGGCTAATTAGCCATCTCTTGTTCCCGAATTCAACATATTGAGGGTCATATCTATCAAAACTATAGGTCATTCCTAACTTTTAGTTATATCATGGATCAGTATTCTTGCATTTCTTTGTTGCAGTGCCAGGTTAGGGGTTAGGGGTCCAGCGGTAGATGTTTTGGGGAGAAGTTCAGTAATGGAATAGAATAGAAATGGCAATTAGCTAAGTCCAAATATTTTTTATGGATAGATATCGAACATGGTTTGACTCACCTTTCTTCCAGAAGCAAAAACTGAGCAGAGCGAGGATGAGAACCAGAACTCCGGCAGAGCCAATTCCAGCACCCAAGTTAGAGGAGTTCTCTAAAAGAAATAAGGATACACAATGGAGTCACATACTTTAGCTTTTCCTGCATAAAGTAAATAATTAGCTGCAAATTCAATAAAAAATAACCCTGAATAGCTGTTGAATCTGAAATGCACACCATATTAAAAAAAAATATAAAAAGTTGGCATAACACAATGTTTAAAACAAAAGGAGACTAGAATTTGTAGCTTTTCATATTGCACTCATCAGAACTACGACAGAAGAAACAGACTTGAACAAAGAGACACCATTTTATGCAGCATTTATTTATACAGAGTATTCGTAACAATCTTCCCTTTCTGGTGATTCCATGAGATTGTGCTGTTTTAATGTGCTGCATCAAGCTTTGATACTTTAAATCTCTCACTCCTCGTCTCTTTAATCTTGCCAAGTGTCCTTGAATCAGTGATAAGGTTTCAAGGATACGGTATTGGCAAGGTACCATTAACCGGAGGAAAGCATATGATATTTTAGTCTCATTACCTTGTTCTTTCCCTCATCCTGCTGTTTTGTCTCCTTCAAGTGTATATTGATATTGTTTTTAAATTTGTTACTGAATCTGCTTCCATCTGACAGTGCCTTCCAGATCATGATAATTTGAAGCAAATTATTTCATTCAACTTACCAATTTGCCAATTATTTTCACTCTTAAGTCCATTGGTTAACAAATGAGAAGTGGAACCAGTGAAAAGAGTTTATCACATTTACCCTCACAAAAACTTACATGGATTTTGAACACATCACCTAATTCTTCCCCAAATCATTTTTGTTTTAATGGAGGAAAAGCCCAGCTTCTCTCATTTGGGGTTGCTCACATTCTCATGCATCTCATCTGCACTCAGGTCATTGAATCCCTACAGTGTGGGACCAGGCCACTCAGCTCATTGAGTCCACACCAACCTCCAAAGAGCATCGTATCCAGACCTACCCCTTACCCTATCCCTGCATTTCCCACCCTAGACACTATGGGCAATTTAGCATGGCCAATCCACCTAACGTGCAGATCTTTGGACTGTGGGAATACTCCCACGCAGACACGGGAGAATGTATAAACTCTACACAGACATTCGCCCAAGGCTGGAATCAAACCTGGGTCCCTGGAGCTGTGAAGCAGCAGTGCTGATCACTGAGCCAACATGCCATCTCTGTAAAATGTAGTACACAGAACTGTTAGCAATGAACAGCTGGGGTCTTATGAGTGATTTATATATATTTATTAGCTTTTGCGTAGTTTATAAAATCATAGTGGGAATTCTTTAACCATCTTATATAATTTCCTGTCAAACACCCCCAAACACATGTAAGCTCTTAGATCTCTCTACAGTTGTGACCTTTTACAGTTGAATTATTTAGCACATATTGTCTCTGTTTATTCTTTAATTTCAAAACGTACCACTTCATATTTTTCTCAGTTCCATATCCCCCCTTACTTTCCTACTCACCTCCTCACTGTTTTCTGTTTTTTTTGAGTGTTGTACCATCTATAAAATTGAACATGATGCAATGTCTTGCCATGTCTACGGCATGAACTGAGCAGTCATGTCATGAGTGGTCCTCAAGCTGGGGCTACTGCACCCCAGGACACCATTGTTAACTTTCCTTGAGGCTGGAAAACCAATCGTTAACCTTCAGTCTCTGCTTTTGTATTCTAAGCCAACTTTCTTTTCAAACTGCCATTACTGCTTTAGCTTCGAGAAAACAACATCTCAGGGAGGCTGGTCAACTTGAAATGGATAACTGAATTGAAAACATCACGAATAACTGCCCTTCCTTTGTGCTACTTAGCAGCTGAATACATCTGGGAATGCTCTCCCATGCCTGGAAGTCCTCAACATAGCTTCCATAGTTACTGGGTGTCTGAAACCTATAACAGTGGGTGACCTGTACCCGTGGTTGCTACTGCTCCACTGTCCACAACCCTCTCTCACCCCATTGTGAGGTGTTCTGTGATGGCTGTAATGTCTTCTGCCTCTAAAAGCAGCAACCTGTTAAACCTGCATGTACTATCTGTGACTGCAAGTTACACAATATACATGGTCTATAAAGAAATTGATCATCTACATACTACAAACTCATTCTAGACTTACTTCCAGTCCCACACACACATTACATACAAACAATTTAAAGTGTTCAGGACTTCTAATGTTATGCGAGTTTCTATTGGTTGTTTGGTAGGTGTCTGCTTGTTCCTGTGGAATGTTGTTCAGTTTGTATTATCACCTTAATTCTATACAAAACTAACCGTCCTCGCAGGGGATTGCTCCAAGGCCTGTCACACTGACATCACACTGCAGAGTACCATCCTCATTCACAGACAGTGTAATGTCTCAGCATTGGTGTTGTCGACACTTGTAGTTTGATGTAAGTAAAATTTTCATCATATTCCAAGGCATAGTATCACTGCACATCCTTTGCAGTGAATTTGACTGAAGGTTCATATTCTAAGATGACAAATTGAGTAAGAACTTTGCTAGATAGTTTACAAAACCAATAAATCATTCAACTGCTCTCATATCTGTATCTAAATCTACATCTCTGCTGCAGCTTTTGTCTGCTCTGAATCGGGGTGAAATCTTTTCACTGGCAATACATGACCTCTGCTTCAGTTAGTTGCAGTTGAAATTTTATCTTGTTCATCTTCAGGTACATCTGGTAAGATCTCTCAAGCAGTCTCACAGACTCTGATCATGGTCTACAATGGCTTCTTCCAAAACATCTCCATATCCATAAACTAGCAGATTGTCCATAGTGGCTTCACTCCTGGAAGATTGCTGACTCTCCCATGCTGTTGGGGTTGATACACTTCTGAAGCAGTGGAAATACCATTATACAGTAAATGGCAGAACCCTTAGAAGCATTAACATACAGAGGAATCTAGGTATACAAGTCCATAGTTCCCTGACAGATTAACACAAGTGAATAAGGTGGTCAAGAAGGTGTATGGGATGCTTGCCTTCATTGGTTGGGGCATAGAGTATAAAAATTGCCAAGTCAATTTGCAGCTGCATAGAACTTTATTTAGGCCACATTTGAAATGTTGTGTACAGGTCTAGTCACCACACTACCAGAGGATGTGGAGACTGTGGACAGGGTATGGAAATGGTTTAGGAAGGTGTTAGTTGGTTTTGGGGGTATTAGCTATGAGGAGAGATTGGACAGACTTGGTTTGTTTTCACTTGAATGTTGGAGGCTGAGGGCGACCTGTTTACAAAATTATGAGAGGCATGGATGAAATGGACGGTCAGAATCCTTTTTCCCAGGGTAGAAATGTCAATTACTAGGGGCCATAGGTTTTAAGGTAAAAGGGGGAAAATTGAAAGGAGATGTGAGAGGCAAGTTTTTTATACAGAGAGTGGTAAGTGCCTGGAACCTGCAGGAAGCGGTAGAAGCAGATACAAGAGCATGTTTAAGAGGCATCTTGATATATACATGAATAGTCAGGGAATAGTAGGATAGGGAGTGCATAGAGGCAAGAGGTTCTTAGTTTAGAAAGGCATTTTGTGTCGGTGCAAGCTTGGTAGGCCAAAGGGCCAGTTCCTATGCTGTACTTTTCTTTGTTCCTTGCTCCTTCTTCTTTGCGCAGCCATCCGTCCCTCCTAAATGAATCCAGGGTATAATCAGAGAACAGATGTTTTCAAGTCATTTCCCTTGTCAGTATCCATTCTTCCCATCCAGGGTGGTAAAGACCTTTGTCATGGCACATTTCTTCAATAGTTGATCATAGTGAGATCTTTTCATAGCTTCATAATATTTTTTGGATCTATGTATGCTCTCAGCTTTCTGTTGTTTTCACAGCTACCTGCAGTGTGAGTTTTCAATTCTTTTCCAGCTCCTTTATCTTGTTTTTTGGGCAGGATTTGAGGACAATTGGAACTTTCTTTGGGAGATGATAAGTTGTACATGTGCTCTTATCAACTTTGAGTATCATGGATAGCACATATACAGAGGTGGTCACACCGCAGACTCAGACTTCATGGGCAGGAAGTTATTCAAACAGAGCAGGAGGGTTAAGGAAGCAGTGCCGGAATCTCCTGTGGCTATTCTCCTGCAAAACCATTTTGGATATTGTTGAGAGGAATGACCTCTCAGTGGACAACAGCAACAGCCAAATTCATGGCATCATGGTTGACTCTGTTGCAGAGGGAGGGAGAAACAGGCATTGAAATGCTATAGTGATAGGGGATTCAATCATAAGGGGAATAGAGAGGCTTTTCTGTGGCCGCAAACAAAAGTCCAAGATGGTGCTAAGATAACACAATGTGGAGCTGGAGGAACACAGCAGGCCAGGCAGCATCAGAGGAGCAGGAAAGTTAACGTTTTGGGTCAGGACTCTTCTTCAGAAATGGAGACCCTTCTTCAGATGGTGCATTGCCTCCCTCATGCTAGGGTCCTGGATGTCTCAGACCAGTTGCAGGACATTCTGGAGGGGGAGGGAGAACAGCCTGTGGTTGTGGTACATGTTGGTACTAACAACATAGGTAAAATAAAAGGGATGAGGTCCTGAACGCAGAATATAGAGAGTGAGGAAGACAGTTAAAATGTAGCATCTTAAAGATAGTTATCTAAGGATTACTACCAGTGTTATGAGCTAGTCAGAGTAGTAACAATAGGATATATAGGATATATGAACATGTGGCTGAAAAGTTGGTGTAAGGGGAGGGTTTCAGATTCATGGGGCATTGGGACCGGTTCTGGGTGAGGTGGGACCTGTAACAACTGGATGGGTTACACCTGGGCAGGACCAGGACTGATGCCCTTGGGTGGGGACGTAATTGGTAGAGTGGTTTGGGAGGGAGGGTGGTTAAACTAGTGTGACAGGAGGATGGGAACCAGAGGAGTAAGGCAGTAGATGCAGAAATTGAGGGAGGAGTAGAAACCAGGGCAAACATGACCAAGAACAGGTAGGGAAATGCTGTTGAAAAGAGCAGGGGAGGTGGTCTGAAATGCATGTGTTTCCATGTGAGAAGTATAATCGGCAAGGCAGATGAAGTCAGAG